TCACATAATGCAGAACCAGTCGCGCCGTTTGCGATGGCTGTACATAAGAGCATCTTCTCCGGGATAGACTCGGGAAATTTATTCAGGAACGTTATACCTTCTTCCTCCACGATATTCGTTAATAAACATTTTCCCATACCGGTTTCTGTTCAACAGTCAGTGTTCGCAGATGTTGCGAGTAAGACGAAGAAGGAGCAAAGTGTCTTCCATAAAAAGGAACAGAAGATCCAGAAAGAAGTGATATCGGAGGCAGAGAAAACGAGGCTAGAGAAGCTGGAGCACGCAAGGAGAATGCAACGAATTGAGGAACAGTCCGAAGAGATTTACAATAGCTTGCACGCAGAAATCATGAACGAGTTTTGCTCCACCATCGCGAAACAGGACATCGACAGGATAGAAGTGTATAACACATTGAGCAAGAGAATCCTTTCAGACATGATCGGCGAAGTTACTCATGAGATTTGCGATACAATACTGACCGTGGAGATTGAGCAACAAAAGAAATTACAGGCGATGTTACTGCGAATTAAGAATCGAGTGATCGTCAAATGCGTAAACATCTGGAAGCAGTACGTATTGAGAAAGAAGCGGCAAAGAGCGGCGTTAGAAAACACGCCGGTTTGGTTGCAGAGGCATTCCGTGGAGGAAACCGCACGGATGCTGTATACCAAAGAGCAGGAAGTAGTGATGCAGAATATGTGTAAACGACGAGACGAACCAGAGGATGTAGCAGCCAGCACGACGGAGACTCTTGCGCCTATCGAAATTATCGTGTATGCCGGCATCAAGGAGAACATACGATCATTGGATTTCGAATCCTTGCCTAATGTATACTGGAAACTCGTCATTTCCTGGCCGGACTTGACTAACAAAGCGGTCTTGTGGTATCACAAGAAAGTGATGAATGAATATTTGAACTCCGATGATTTTACGATGGATCCTATCGTGAAGATTTATCGGCCAAATCCCTATGAGACCTTGCATGTTTGTATAAGGCATTTCGAAGGTTTAATCAGTGAACATCACTTGATCGGTGCCGACGCACTTCTATTCATCGCTGATGCTTCAGAGAATTACAGATCTGTAGCAAAACGTTTAACGAGGACCGTATTGTCGCGGCACAAGCTAATGCCTATGCCGCTCGCCTTTATTGTCTTAGGTAACGGAGATTTGGGGAATCAGAATGATAGTATCGTCTCAGATTTGGAATCCTTCTTGGAATCTGGCTACGTATCGGAATATACCATTATGTATGAGGAGAATCTATCTGCGAAAATTATCTTAAATTTGACGCAAAGCGCAGTTTTATGGTTGACAATGAACAAATCACCATCGAATCCACTGGAAATGGATTATCTGTTTAATATATATGACATATGTTTGTCCGAAGAGTTATGGTTGAGGTAAGCTAATTTCTGTACTTATCTAATTATATAGATATTTTCTAACATGTACATAATACATGTACATACACACTATATTCTGTTTGTTATTATAATTTTCAGGATACTGGGTGATTCTATGTACAATAAACAGTTGTCAGATGCATTAAAGGACCCAAACTTTGTAATTGATTTGCACAATGAGGCTGTAAATCACTTGATAGACATAATCTTAGATCCAGAATCCATGTTATATACAAATTTTGCGCCCGAGTTGAAAAAATTCCTCAAAAACAATGGCACCATGCCATGCAGTTATGAATATTTTAACGAATCATGGAAACGAGATGAATACAGAGCAAAATTAGAGACCACGATGAACAGTTTTGTGCTACCGCCGTGGAAGTAAGTATTGATATCTAGATCGATGTAATTATTAATTATATTAATATATCTATTGGGTTGTCCGAAAAGTTCGTGCCGATATTGAAGGAAAATTGAAACGCAGAAAATTTTAATTTAATAAATGTATATTAAAATTTAAATTTTAGTCGGCACGAACTTTCCAGACAACCCAATATATCTATACAATAAAGCACACACGATATTTGGATGTATCAATATTTTGTTACGTCGTTTATTTTCTCATTTCAGTGCACCATGGCCAATAACAGACATACAAGATCTACGACGACATATTATGAATTATTGCAGAGAGGTATTGTCCGATTCGAACTGTAATGTTGTTTTTTGCGATATATTGAGCAACTTATTCCTCACCTCGGGCAGTTTACAAATATCAAATTTCGTACACATATTACTATATATGATCAAAGAGAAGATACATCTTCTGGATAAAGATCAAACGGTCATTTACAACAGAAATCACATCAAGCATTTCCAGACATTACCGTGGTGGTTCAAATCCAATGTATTGACAAAATTCATGTTGCACGACTCAAGCTCGGATAACAATATTATGTTAAATGAACCGATGAGAAAGCGAAAGAGACTTGATAAATTGGAAAACAATTTGAATGACAGCGCATTAGATGAGGAATTTAGTTTACTAGCGGAGTTTTGCGAGAGCACTAAGGCTCGTGTTATGGAAGTGCATTCTGTGTCTATAGAGATAGAGAACCGCTTGCAAGCGCAACAATTAGAGAACGCATTATTGGAAGACAGGCTAAAAAACGCTTTACTTGAGATGGACTCAACAGAGGAAGGCATATAAGTTTTCCCTGTTTAACTGTATGACATATTTTTTGTCATTTTATATTATTATACACGTTATGTACATGCTTTATATTTATATTGACATGCGATGATTTACTTTTGAAACAATGTTTTCCAGTCAAATATATCTCGATATACATAACATTTGAAATATATTTATACATAACTAAAGGGAATATGTGTGAAATCGCTGCTATGATCTTACTTAAATGTTATTAAGTTGTTCATATTATTATAAGAATCATAAAAATAGAACTAGTCATTAATTTATTTTTCATAACATAATTTTATGTATGTTATGTATGTATGTATGTGTGTGTGTGTGTGTATATATATATATATATATA